TTCTTGAATTCTCACTTTTGAATTTCTGTTGAATCTGTTCCTTTTTTGTCCTCTAATTTTTGGATGTCGTTTAGTTTTCTAGATATTTTATTGTTTTGTTTGGGCCCAAAATGCCTTTTTAAATTGACTTTTTTCTTTTTTAAGAAGGGCCATTTCTGATTTCTTTTCATACAATTGAAAAATTAAATTTTAAATGAGGCACATTCCTTGAGGAGTGCGCCTCAGATTTAGAGGCGTGAGCATCATATTTTTAGCCTCAAAAATACCGCCTCGAGGCATACTACATGCGCCTCACTATCGCCTTTTTAAACCATAAATTAGTGACCTAGTGATTAAACTAGTGAGCTAGATAAACCAATGACGTAGCGACCCAATGCCTTGACCACGTCAATGGTAGGAGTATCCAATAACTTTTTATTCTCAATTTGACAAACATCACCTTTACCTTTTTCACGATTAGGTACTAACTCGAGACATGAGGTCCATGATTGCAACTTGACCAAAATGTCTTCCAACCTCAAGATGATACGTATTGCCAGCTTCTATGTTATTGGAATATAAAAGATTCTAATTCTCAACTTGTACGTGCTTCTCTATTGTGGTATCATGATCAAGAGCACCTTGTTGCTCCTTATATCCCGTTGGGATGGGTTGTTGATTGGAGGAAGTCAAGTATTTCTAGGTTTATGCACCACGTGTTCTTTGTGTTCCAGTCCCGATTGCTCATCATCCATCAAAAGCTCTGGAATATGAGTCGCCAACAGTGCTATTGTGACCTATCGGAGCTAGACGTTGCCTTTTGGGTCACAAATAACTTCAATGATGAATGGAGCTGAGGTCGGCTGAACATCTTGAAAAGTCTTTTCGAGCACAGAAAGTCGGCGCTCGACATTTTCGAACCTGTGTCGCCAGTGGCGTCGGCTCCACTAGTATCATCCTTAGTCATCAAGTCGGGCAAAAATCCTTGCTCTAGTACCAATTTTGGTGCAAGCAAAATTGAAATTCTTGAAACAAGAATGAAGTTTGAAAAACTCGAAAATTTGTAAAGAATAATTTAGTTATAACGAAATTGATGATAGTAGCTTTTGCTTATATAGGCAAAATAATATCTTAATCCTAATAATTTGAGGAAGATAAGCATTAAAACATGAAAGAATAAAAAATCCTAATCTAAACAAGAAATAAAATCCTAGTACAACAATTAAATATTCGTATCCTATTTGTAATAGGATTGTCGTACATTAAGTCAATGGCTTGACCAAGTCAGTGATAGGATTATTTGATAACTTCAATCTTCACATAATATAAAGAATGTTTGACATTAAATTGCCTTTTTCGACTAAAAATAATGAGATTGTGAACATTTATGAACTGAAATTGTTAGACCAATAAATTGCAGCAAAAAGAATGAGCGATTTCCGTATTTAAAAAATTATGAGTGAGTTTCAGACTTGCACACTCCACCTAGAAAGATAAAGTATGAAGATGCATGACCGTACAAAGAGAAGCAAATAGAGACACATTACTGATGTATGACAAAATAGACAAGAATGGGAAAAAAACAAAAATTGTTAACGAGAAAAAGAACTACAATTCAAGATTCATATACCTGGGCAAGTTTATAACTCGGAGAATTTTCTTCATACTTGGCAACGAAGAAGTCGTGTAAGCTTGAAATATTGGGGAATCTACTTTTGATGGAATGAAGCGACGCCTGGTATTAAAACAATAATACATATAAATTCAGCCATAGCTATAAAGATTTGAACTTAGTCTACCAAGACAATGTAAGAGGCTACCGTATCGGGAATAGTTTCAATAAGTGCCGTATAAGAGGATGTAACTAAAACTTCATAAGGACGCAACCACAATGGGAGACCAGCTTCCTGGAATATATCTAGCAGTTAAAAATGACAAAGAAAACTCATCAAACCGTGCCAATGAACAAAAGAAAAAAGTAGATGCAAGTTGGGGAACAAGATAAGTATTTGCATATCCCACCCATCAGACATGGATAAGTAATTCAACTCCAACACATGGCCATTAAGTAAATAAATTGACATGGAGACAGACATCATACAGTTCATAAAATCTGGATCAAAAGTAAATAAAATTATTATACAAGTTTTGAAGGACAACAGAATTCCATTTAAAATACATTACAAACAGAAGAGCGAAAACTGTAGGCTCGGTGTTCTTTTGTTGTGCTAAAGAGAAGTGTACAACCACAGGCATCCACCGACTGCTTTCTCAATTAGCAAATGTCTTCTGTTACATTCAGTTGCCAAAAATACAACAGCAACGATTGCATTTTAAGGGTAATATGTAGACAACCGAATCACGCAGGAAGATTTCTTTTAAGAATTCTTCTCAAATATAAATTCTAAAAGAGGAAAAAAATGCATTATGAAGATGATCGCGTGTTCCCAAAGCAAGTTCTAAACCCAGATAATGAAGGTGACTTGCAATGGGCTGATAGCCAACCTAAAACTTTGTCTATGTCTTATCCCTAGGATTCTTCTTCACCTCTTGTTAGGATGTACCCTACCAGCAAGTCACTACATCAGACTACAAGTGCAATAAAAGAGCCAGCATAAGCTAGGGTGTACCTCACATTCTCACAACTGACATGACACATTGTTGTCTAGGGCACCCTAAAACTTGTAAACTTATTGCATACACGTATCCAAGCTTGGATATGCTTGGACACTCTTTGATACGTACCAGATACTTTTTTAAATTATTTATATTTTTTAAATTTTCGATATGTATCGAACACCTTAGAACACGTGAAGAAGAATTTCATTGGTTATAAAGTCTTTTAAAACTCATTATATTATTATTGACAAATTACAATAATACTCCATGGGCGCTTCCCTGAAGCTTCGTTGGCTCTTTCACTCCCAAAAATCGCTATGGTCTCAGTAAGAACTGGGTAAATATTCCATGAGCACTCACCCCATGCTCGTTTCAACCCCTTATAATGCTTCACCTATTTGGAGGAGGTGAAAGCGCTGGCCCTAAGGCCAAGCCCCATATTGCATGGTAAATTGGAGATGGACAGATCTTTTTCTGGCATGATTGCTGGATGGTCAAGGCTACCTTGACATCCTTATTCCCAAACAGTCAACATTCTCGTGTGAGGGTACATGATTTCTATGATAGCTTTGGATGGGATATTAGACGGCTTCTACCGGTCCTCCCTCCCCCTACGGTTGAGCAGACTAGGTTATTCTTCTCTGGACTAATTCTTCCGATCAGATATTCTGGAAGGACACTCCAGATGGTAGTTTTGTTACCAAATCTGCTTGGCATTCCGACCTAGTCGACAATCTCGTGATCTTTTCGATTAATGTGGAGTCCCATAATTCCTACACAATCTCTTTATTCTATTAAAGATTATGGCATGACTTTATCTCAATTGATATTGTTATTCAAAGGAGGATTAGATGCCACTTGCCCTTACGTTGCCAATGTTGTTCGGCAATTGAGACCAGTTCACACATTTTCACGGGCAGCAACATCTCTGATCAGGTATGGAAGCATTTTAACACAATCAATCCAACCATGCACCGCTTCCTCTAGTGTTGACTTAATTCCACTTACAGCTTAGTTTCTCGTTTACCTATTTTCTATTATTTTAAGTGCATTTTCTGTCCGGTCATAAAAACACAAAAATAAAAATGGACAGGCCACATGGAAGGAATCTCTTAACTTGTGTAGAATCATGTCCAGCACCTCTCAATCTCTGGTAAATGTTGGCCATCAATTCGCCAGCTATGGTGGTGTCGCGCTTTCTAAGGTTAACTAAATTGGAAGGTAAAACTGTGATGCAGGAGTCTTGTGCAAAAGCATATGAATAATTGCATAGTTCACTCGAACGTCGGATGGAGAGAAGGTCGTTAGTGGTATATCTCGACTAAAGGCTAAGGGAAGTAGTCTAAATCAAATAAATGCATTAAAGATGAAAATAGTATAGTTATATTTTATACTGATGAGATCACAAAAACATGAAGGAACCATTTTTACACAGTATTTGTGAAATACCTGAAAACCCCGGACTGGATATTGAGAATATGTCGAACTCTAATGTTAATATAAATTGTATAGGAGGCTGTGAAGAATACAAATAAGAAATTGGCCGAAAGGAATTTTTACTAAACTATAGACGTTTATGGGCGAAATGGTATTTTTTGCTTCACAGAATTATTAAGGCCCTGTTTGGTACAAATTATTTTTTTCATTTTCATTCTTCTACTCATTTTCAACCACACATTCTTCAATAAAATAATATTTTCCATCACATCAATAACTTTTCCTTCATTTTTAACCACACATTCTCCATCAATCTACTATTCAATAATACATTCTTTCAAAAGAATGTGTCTCAAACACACTCTAAATAAGATCTTAAATGGTAAAAAAAATGTCAAATAAGCGGAGGAAGAGTATCATGGTTATACGGTACATATCTATAATAACAAAAGAGATATTCAAGAAGATTTGAATTACAGAGCTATATAGCTCACATCTCATACTCTGCAATTATTTGAAAAGGTGAGTTAACATAGGCAGGTGTCATCTAACGACCTCATAAAACTTATTTGGTTTTACCTATGGAGATCTATGGAAAATTTGTTAAACACGGAGGCGATAATAAAAAAATGTTCAGATGTCACGCTGCTATTAAGAGGATATAATTAGTAGAAAAGGTACGTTACTTTCCTTAAACAAATTAATCATTCCTCAAATTCGTATCCGCCTCCAACACTCATCTGAATTGCAGCTTAAGAATGTTTCCAACTTTGGCAGGGAATCATGATAAAGATTATTAACAGTGGATGCAAAACACCACAAATAATAAAATGAAGGGAAATATTCGAGTGACCGTTCCGCAGCAACTTTATTTCGACGACTGCTCCGATTTCGACAATTTATACAATATGGTCACATATTATTTTTCAGTCATAAATAACTATTTTTATACGTCACAAATTATTTTACGATCACAGTTCAAAAATTTTATAGGTCACAATTTGTTTATCGGTCACAGATCAAAAATTTTGTAGGTCACGGATTATTTCGAAATCACATTATTTTATTGGTCAAAGATCAAAAAAATTACAGATCACAGTTATCTATCAGTCACATATTTTCAAATTTATTAGTCACGGATTAATTTTTAGTCACAACTGTCGAATTTTAAGGTCATAGTCAGTCTATGATGCGATTTTTTTTTTTTTAACCACCACTTCACCGCTACCTCCAATAGCACCACCACTACCGTCACCGCCACATTGGTCACAAATTTCAATCAACCAATAAAATCGTCCCAAACGCCCACACCACATTCCGCCACTCTAAACGCACTGCACCACCGTCAGTAATGCTACCCATTGCCATTCACAATTAAGGGCAGCCTCACAAATTTTCGATTTTTAAGGTCACATATAATCCTTTATGCTGTCATAGTTGTTCACTAATTTCAATCAACCAATAAAATTGTCACAAACACCCTCAACACATACCACCACTCTAAAAGCACCGCACCACCGTCAGTGAGGGCGGGATGTGGTGGCGTCTTGTCTGGCGGTGGTGGTAGCTCTTCATAGCGGCGGTGGCAATGTTCGTGAGAGAGATGAGTGACGCCTTGACAGTGTTGAGAGATGAGTGAGGGATGGAGAGAGAAAAAAATATCAAAAGTGATTAGGGTTAGGTATAATTATATTTAGTAAAAATGTTTATTTTATCAAATTATTAATTAAAATTAAATAACTGATTTTTGAAAGATTAAACTTTGCACCTAATTTTAGAATGTGGAATAATTAAAGTAGGGATTGGTGTAATTTCCACTAAAACGAAAAAAGGAAGCCAAGTAATTGCACTCTCATAAAGACATTTGACACCTACCATAAAAGTGAGAAATAAGTTGTACAGCAAGGTGTTCCTGCCTACAATCATCACCACTTTTAACAATTACCTGAAATAAGAATTAGAATGAGTTAGCTGGTGCAAAAACAATATGGAAATTGCAGATCACATAATATTGCAGACAAATATGATAAACTGGGTTAAAAGAAGAAGAAAATGAAAGTGAATCTTTGGAACCTTTAACTATAAAAGCATACGCTAACAATCAATTGACAAAAATAAAGTAAGAATTTACAAGCAGTAATTGCCTTTCTAATATCCTATGAGTTCCACAATTTGATAAAGATAGTGCAATGGGGTATTGAACGGTTGTTTCGTAATAAATAAAGTCCAAACCAGTTGTTGCACAACTAACGAAGGTAACCAATCAATATATAAAAACTTCAACCATCCCACAAAATTCTGCTGCCATAAGCACCACATTCCCCAGAGCTCAGCATAGATCCATCAGTGAGAAGCTTTAGATCGTAAAAATGAGATTTCCACACTATCACTCCGAAGAGCTGCACCGGGCCACAACCTATTTGCTGGATATCTGATACTTAAGGCCGTGTCACCAACAGCAGGTTAATCCATATATTTATTCACTATCTTATACCATAACAGACTGAAATTTGTGTGCGCACTCTAAGCTAGCACAAATGTCGTAACCAGTTCATTGGAGTTTCTGCAGAGACTGAGTTTCATAATAGCTGTCACTGCTACAGGAGACGTACCTCAGCAGAAACTGAAACCTTTTCGACTTATTTAGTGCCCACACTTGTACTATCCCCCAGCATGTTTCTGTTATCTCTTTTATTATTTATGAACAAATTCAAAATTATCATAAAAGAACTATGTCAAACAGCTAGCCAATATCGAGCAGTCAATCATAAATTTTGTTACAGAGCCAACACTTAAACTAGTGATCACCCTTGATGAGCCAACCAAGTCTCCAATTACCCAAGGATATCTTTTCAAATTAGATATCCTCTAATATACTGACAATTTATCACAGTACAGACATTGAGCAACTACCTTCTGATGAATAAGAAAAAACAGCTGACAGCTGTTCAGGAATGCATTTTCCATGATCAACAGACAACAGAGAGAAGTAAATCCATATTTTTCAGTGAATCAGAGTGCAAACCATTAAACAAAAATTTCAAGACTCGAAAGTTACACCAAGTCCTCAACAGAAAATTATCACGTAGAAAATATCGGTGTTAAAAGGGAAGAGAAGACAAGATAGCAACTTACAGAACGCAAGTCCCAACCAGGTAATTTTCCATATACCGAGGCTTTACGTATTCTCTCCCTCTTCAACTCCCACAGTTCACCAGCTAATGCATCACCTACTTTGGGAACACCCCCATTCACAGCCTGTTTAAAATTGGTAAAGTACAAACAAAAATTAAGGCCAAGAAGCCAAGACAAGCCATTCAACTTGGGACAAATCATCACCTTTGGCTGTGCATCTGAAGAGTCCTGACCAGCACCCTTCAGAGGAAGTCCAGGAGGAGCTTCTCCTTTCAATGCAGCAGCCTGCACGGAGAAGTTGAAATTGAATATACACTAATGATAGCAAAGACAAACATTGAATGAGACAATTGTAAAGAAGATATGACTGATTAACAAGATACAAATGAACATGTTACCTTGACTTCCTCAATAGCCACAGTACTTGGAACACGGCGGTGCTCTTTTCGTCTGGGTGGAGGATCTTGGTCCACTATGTCATCCATGCTAACCCCAGGATCAGCTGTCAAGACAACCCTCACCTGTTCCAAATCACATCCATCTTTTGTTCCAGATGCATAAGAACCAACCTCACTGGCTTGGCCACCATTTGAAGAAAAAGATTGAGAAATACAAAATTCAAGGTCAGGGCCTGATTGCTGCTCCACAGTAAAATTCACATGAACAAATTTTACTTTGGCATCCCATAATTTCGTCATTGCCTGGTCTATCGCCTGAGAAGTAGAACTTGACATCCTATCATAACCACTGTGGTACATATCATGTCCTGTCCACAGAGGATAAGCCCATGGTGGAGGTTTTGGCAACAGTGCATCTCCATTTGCCAACGGAATTCCTCCTTTAGAAAGCTTTTGAGCATTAGCCGCATCTTTTGAATTACTAGTTGGAAAGATATGAACACAATTATATGATCAGTGTCACGACCAACACATTACAATAGTTACTGAAGAATTAACTTTGCAGTCACTAAAAATAACTAATGAAATTACCATAACTCACCTTGGGGCTTCACTTTTCAAGACTTCAATACATATCAGGTAAGGAGCTTTTTCTCTGGAGTTCAGAAGAATAGCCTCATCTTCAGGTATGTGAACCACACGATACATACCCTTCCCCATTGGAAAACACACCCCTGTAGTATCACGGAAGAAAAGTAGGATGTAAGCATGTCAAGGATGTTCTCATGAACATTCTTAACAGGAATAGAGCTTGGACATTAAATTGCTGAAAACAAAATGGTTTTTGTTTTGAATTTTTAGCTTCGTAGTAAGAAACACAAAACAAGGCACAAGCACAATGAAGAAATATGAGAATTTCAGAAAATAATTCATTAATTTATTGTTTGATTCTCTTTTTCACAAAGTGAATAGAACTTCCAAACAAAGTACACCACTATTACTCTTGGTGCTAATCATCATTGAAATATTGGCTTTACTAAATCTTTGTTTTTATTCCTTCACTAAAGGATCTCCAATATCTCAATCTCTATAAGCATAAATCAATTTCCTTTCAGGATAAGAGAGATAAAAGACAGTATGCTGATTCAACAAACATTCTCAACTGCACAATAATCTAGTATGACAAAGCCATTGTTACAAGAAATAAGTGTTTCCATTTTGTATTCTTCAAACCTGCTACCTCATTAAACACCACAACCAGGAAAAAAACTGAATTAAAGATAGGCCTCTGTCGGCTAATAATTGTAAATTACAATATCAGAAAAATAATATCGTAGATAATAGAAGCTAATAAAAAAATAAAATTTTATTTTGACCCTTTTAAAACAAATTTTAGACAGAAAAATAACAAAATATAGGGAACTACAAACGTAATAAACTTTCGTTTCCAAACTTTGGTCCTCATACTCAAATTTGCTGCACTAATTTTTATAGCCCAAGGAGTATCTGATAGAACCAAACATCTGTCCACATAAATACTGCATTTACCTCCACTACTTTGAGCAGCATCTATACGTGTGTTGATTTCTGCAAGTGACTGGGAACAGCAAAATTCACAAATTCAGTAAAAGAGAAGATCTTGATGGACAGATAAAAATTGAAGCAAACTGGAGAAATGAAGAAAATTGGGTAACCTCACGGAGAGCACTTTTCCGATCTTCAATAGGAAATACGTCAACCAAGTCGTAGGATATCTCACATAACCGTTGCACAAAATCAAGGGATTCATGATATGTCCCTTTTCTAAACTGTGATGAAGTATTGTTTGGAAGCGGAGGTTTAGCATTTGACTTTTCATTTCGTTGCTTTGGTGAGCCAGGACATTTCTAGTAAATGAAACATTATTATAATCAGTGACCCAATTATCCATTGTAACAACAAGCACTCTTCAATACAGAAATTGAAAGAAAAAAATGTCAAAGAAAGATTTATTTTCGTCTTTTTTTATTTTTTCTATAAGAATATAGTCTTATCAATAATAAAGTAGGAAGCTTAGAAAGAAGATACGCAGAAAGAAAAGGAGAGATAAGAAACGAGAACAACAATGTAACTCTTACTCTCAATGAACTTGTAGTCAGCTACTTAGTCTTTCTTACACCATTTCCTTCAATTCAAAGCCATATATTTGGAAAGATCCACTCAAATCAAATAATTTCAATAGTTTCAAGCCATGTTTGGCTCAATGTTTATAAACTGTTTAAAAACACTCAATCCACTTTTTTATCAACACATTTCAAGGGACCGACAAGTATTACCCACTTCTCCATTACACATTTCTACCTATTTATATATTAAACTATTTGTAAACACTTTCCAAACATACTTTTAGTCTAGGTCTACGTGTGTCTCCTCTATCTAATTCTATTTGGCTCATGTCACACTTATAAAAGGGGACCTCTTAGGTGTATGCAACACGTCACATCGTGAATCCAATAATCTATATGAGAGATCCTGAGAAAAGTAAAAACGGCATAGAAGGAAGAAAAATGAACAGGCATCCCCTACAAATGAATTGATTGAAACTGGATCTGAAAATTTCTAGAGTTCCTATACAAGCAAGTATATCACAGAAAGGCAAATATAGGTACATAGCATGCCATCAACAGCATATTGTGTGCTTAAAATTAATTCCAAAGGCGAAGTTTGAACAGTAACCAATCAATATGGTATCTGAAATTCATAAAGGCTTTGCCAGAATGAAGACTGGATCCAATGATCAAATTTACTCGCTAAATTACACAATTTGATGACAAAGCAATTAAAATGGTTTATTTTCCAGCAAATCCTGCCAAGTTTGACTAGCTAGTCGTCAGGAAGGGAAAATCATTTGGAAGAGAAAAGCCCCTCAGAAGTTAGCTGTTCCCATTTGTTTATCAGCAAGGGAGGCCATTTTGACAGCAGAATTCGAGAAAAAGTAGAGCTATTGGTGTGTGTTGTAATATATACACGAAAATGACAGTAAGGATGCAAACCACTTTTTGCTTAAGGGGTTGAGAGCGTAATTTTAAAAACAGAAGCATACTTTTCCAACTTTCCAGAACAAGAGTGCTCTTAATTGTATACCTCTTCCCTCAAAAAATAAAAAATAAAATAAAAACTGTATACCTCTTGCATACTTTGTTTCCTCATAATTCAAATTGTGGATTTAAGTAAGAATAATGCAATCAGCTGCTTCAAAATTCTCACTTCTTACATTTAGACCCTTCAAAAGGTACAAGCTTAGATTTTTCAGAGCTACTTCCAGCAAGCTTGCAACTCTATAAACGTTTTTGAATGTAATCCACCATAAACCTTGTCTTACCAAACAAATTTCCTGTATTGGGATGTCCATAGACGTGCATCTGATAAACTCCAACTTTAGATGAAGTCCTGAAACGTTTCTCCAATTATATTCTTGTGCAGTGTATCAGGGGTCCCATAAAAAGCATGAGGCAGATCATTCGCTATCAATTTCAGAATTCAATTGCCACTTGTTTAGCATCTTAACTAACATAGACGGTATACTTATGTGTAATTTACATGAGTTTTAATAATGATAAAACTGCTTTAGACGGTATATTCTTATGCATATATTACATTGGGTTCTAAGACTGATAAAACTGCTTTCGTGCATTATGTGGTTTAGAATTGTAATCCAGAGCTCACTGGTTTTTATTAACAAATTTTAGATGGTCTAGGAACTAGGAAAACTTTTGAGTATACAAACATCTATGCTATATAATGTTCCAATTTGTTCAAATTTCTTTGAGTAGCATGTAGTTTTTCTATTCCAAGTAAAATCGTAGGGTTTGAGCTACTTATAATTCATTCAAGCATCTAACAATTTCAGAAATGTCTTGACATATTTTGCAAGAAAGTGTTTTATACCACATCGATGATTCTCTTCTCGGCCACCAGCTACATGGCATTATCAACTAATTTTATTCTCTGACTCTGAACATCATTGACATTCAAAAAACTCACTGTGAAGGTCATGCTTAGCACAACAGTTTCTCGTGAGCTTATATAAGTTCAAACTTCAGAAACTGAGTGTTCCCCCAACCCTCTAGCCACCATAAAAGTACCAGAATCCATGACGTAGGTACTACCATTTTGAACCTCAGAAATCCGGACTTAATACGTTGTAAAAGTAAAATAACCAGATTACTTAAATATTTCCACCCTCGGAAGTATTAAGTTATCCGCCAAAGATTTGACTTTGTAGTAGGGGTGTCCAAAAGTCTCGAACCGGACCAGACCGAACTGAGCCCGAACCGAATCGAGCAGTTCTTTATAAGTTAAATACCCGAACGGGTACCCGAATCGAGAACCGATGAATTTGGGCCGGGTCACGAATCTGGACCAAGAACCGAATAACCGAATAAGAATCGAAACTAGATAATTTTTTTTATTTTTTATATTGAATTAATTAAATTATTTAATTTATATTTCATTTTATTTATGCAAGTAGGTTGCTTGAAGCAAATGAATTTACTTTATATTTAATTAAATAAATCAGATTATTTCATAATTTTAATCTTAAAGCCCAAATCATTTTTAAAACTCATTAACCTATTTTAATTTGATACAAATGAATATACTTTATGTAGTGTTGCTGTAATATTAATATCTACTTTTTGGCATTTGTATGCATTGAATTAATCTTATTAGACAGCTAGTTATTTATGTGTTTTTGAATTAGGCTACATTAATTTATAAAAGTTACGAATGAAATGTCATTAGTTGTATTTATGTAGTGTTGCTGTAAATATTAAAAAATTTAATTACGGAACCGAACCCAAACCCGAACGGTTCGATAATTATATTTGGACCCGAAAGTTCCATTTATTAAATACCCGCAAGTTTTGGGTCTGTTGGGTTCTTTTCAGAACCAAATCGAACCGACCAACGGACAGCCCTACTTTGTAGCCTTGCAACTTCATCCGAACTGTCCAAAACACCAATACCAGGCAGTATTCTCTGAAATTCTTACAGAACAT